AAACTAGCATTTATTAAATATGCATTTGTTAATAACGATTATTTTCATTTCAAATTATATTATTAGCACAGTCTGAGTGGATCATAATCTGTCTGTACAATGCCACTCATTTACATGATTAGCTGCCTAGAAATAGTGCAAAATCAGGTTAATAATGTAAATTTTTTTGCGGCACTCTCTGGTGCTGCTTGTGCGGTGGTCAAAAAATTACCTTTTTATTTCAATGAAATGAATGTACTATATTTTAGCTTGATTGTTTTTTATTTAATATTTTGTATTTTAAGGTCCTAAATTATATTTATGGAATAGTTATTATCCATTTATTACCTTATACCATTTATTACATTATTAACCACTTTTTGAGCATAGACCTAAAAATGAAATTTCCAGCTTAAACTCTCGTAAATCTTGAATGCTTTGGAGCACAGACTTAATTTTGGCAAATTATTACTGAAGTGAAAAAAAAAAGTAAAAAAAACAAAAAAAAAGTGAAACTAAGAAAAAAAAAAAGATTAGGTGTATATATATATATATACATAATTTTTTTTAAACATGTTTTACACATAAAATACATGAAAATCAAAGCCATAAATCTAAACATATTGTGTTCCAAATTTGCTTTCAGTAACATTTTGTTTGAGCGCAGTGTGTTTGTTTGTGTGTGTGTGTTCACATAACCAAAACCAAGTGCCAAATTTTTTTTGCCACTGATGATTCAAACGTGAGTTTTGAGCAGTGTAGAGTTGCGTTTGTAGTTTGTAATTTCTCCGATCACAAATGCAGACATGTTTTTATGTTTACGCGGCGCGATGCAACGCAACGCGTAAAAAGACAGTATAAGTCATTATAATCCGAAATTATGTTTCATACAATTCTGATGAAGTAAAAAATTCTAAAAAACCAAAACAAAAAACTTTTTGATCAAAAATGACCAAACAGCACCAGAGGGTTAAATAAACCAAAATTCCAGACTTTCAATGTATCTGAGACTTTTGGAGCCAACTGTGCATCTGGACAGATTGGCATCCAAAATCCCATGTTTCGTAATCTATAGTCAAGGGAATTACATCATATCACATCTGTGTTACTGTATTTCATGCACTCCTTTCCTTACTCCATAAATGTTCACATTACAAATGTTTATTTGGCTATGAAGAATAGAATTAGAAATAATGCATGGCCAATCTACAGCGTTTGACCTACCTCCAATGTTTCTTTGTGTGCGAGTTTAATTAAAAATAATTAAACAATGAATATTTTTAATTATATTTTTCCATCTCATTTTCCTCTCAATATGTCTGAAACGCTATGGAAAAAAAGGCTTGGCCTGCAACGTGATTGGTACTGTGACAGTTACATTAGTTAAATCAAATACCTTTCATTCAGATCCGGTAACGAAGTGTAACGCTGCACCTCGTGCACATGATTAACTAGCGGCGAAGCTTCCAAGAAATGCACATACTAGGACACTTTTTCTAGCAACAGTGTACTTTAATGTAACTGATTTGGATCGCTCTTTAATGTTTTTGTTTTTTTTCCAAAACAATACAATGGAGGCTGTAAAACATGAAGCAAATAAAACACCTTGGTTCTGTACAGCAATAGTAGCTCATTCACACATTCTAAGTCTGTTAACAAGTGAACATAAAAAAATATAATAATACAACACTGCTGACTAATACATGGAGGAGTGGGGAGCTGATTTTGGTGGAAGATCTCTTTCTCTGACTGCCTAAATATTTTCAGGTAATTGCAAATACCTCGTAATTTCTGTGGGTTGTAAATGACTGTTTGGATAACACAGTTTGTGTTGTTTATCTAAGCCTGTGCACCGAATGGAATATTCAGAAAGGCAAGCAAAGCAAGTACATATATATTCTAGTGTGCATAATCACTCTTACACCATGTTTACACCAGACACATCCAGCACCACAAATGTAGAGGATCTCATTTTAATCAATTCAGCTGCCTACACTTTCTAGTGACTTAATTATACCCGTCAATCTGAAATCAACTCATTTTACTTGCAAAGTTCATACATGTGAATTAATTGCTATGAATTTAATTCATGTATTTACATAACTTGATTATTACGTCAAAGTCATTTTAAGATTTGAAGGTCCTAAATTATATTTTTGGCATAGTTATTATCCATTTATTACCTGTTAACCACTTTTTGAGCATAGATCTAAAAATGAAATTTCCAGCTTATATTATTACGTCAAAGTCAGATTGTGAAATGGTCTTTGGCCTAATAATTTAAACCATCTAACCATATGTACTCAATTGTTGCAATGCAAAAGTGCACCTCATTCATGAATTGTATATTAATTCTTATGTAAACTGAATTAAATGCAACTTCTTACACAAGAATGGGCCTACAAGAAATTCTGCACAAGAAAGTCGCTATTTTAAAACAACCCATGCAAAGTCAGTTTTAAAATAGGATTTTATTTTCCACAGATTGTACTTTGAGCCTCGAGCTTCCAGTGTAGACAACCTCACGCTGCTGGACGCTTCCAGTGTAAACACGGTGTTGCTGTTAGGATAATTGAAGCAGTCATATTATTTGATATTTTGCTGTTTTTCAGCTCTTGATCATTAAGTGCTTTGCATTCTTTTGGAGCAGTTTTGAAAGGCTAAACACAAGGGAATCATAGCAACCAAATACAGTGGAACACGTCATATAGCATGTGCATTGAGTCCAAACAGACCCCCGTGCCAAAAACAACAAGCCGTCGTTCGCACACGACCAGACAGTGGCGTACAAACATGAAATAAAATCTTTGGCAAAAATAAAGTATTTACATACAAAAAAAGCAAGACACCCTAATTGGGGAGACATGGGACAGTTGTCAGGGTGGCACAGACATCCTGCGTAAACGAAAGAATTGCTGGGGACTTTCTCTGCAAATCACAGTTAAAACACTGCAGTATTACTTTTCATCTAAATTTAATAAGGGTTCAGAATGGTTCTGTGTATCTAAGGGAATTGTAGAGGATGCATAGATGATGATATGGCTGGCAATACCTGACAGTGCCTCATGATGGCAGTATAAAACAAAATACTGAATTTTGCCTGAGAGAATCACTGTGAGCGGCCAAACAAGTGGGTTTCACTGAGGGATAAATACTGGGAGGGAAAGGACGCCAAAATAATAGTAACAACAATAATACAAAAATAAAGACGCTTCCTTACTTTTCTTTACACAAAGCCTCTTGCAGTAAACATATCAGCCAACTCACTTTATCCAAAGGAACTTTAGGATGTAACCCCTTACGTATGCAAAAGCGACAGTGAGTTCTACTTTAAAGTCTATGTCGATATATAAAGCTAAAGAAAAACGACAGGAGAAAATATCCAATAATGACAAGCTTTCCAAATACATACACTTTACACCATATATCATAGAATGCTTCTCAAAATCTCACGATTTTGAAATATTAGCCAAAATAAAGATTATTTCTTGTGGAGGCTAATCTTTATGTAGACTATACAATATATCTATGGGTAAATGAGTTAACATGGAGCAAAAAAAAAAAGTAGCAAAACCATAATAATACAATAAATATTCAGTAAAATCACTTTTTGTTGTATTTTATATATATATACTTAGCTTACTTTGGGGTAGAATGATAGTGTGAGTGTGTTTGAAGCAAGGCATAGAGATACAGTGACAGATCCACACCTTACTGCGAGATACACAACGATACACACTCGAGTCAGACCTGAAGAGAAGAGAGCACAGCAGCAGCTCATGGACGCTAGCAAGTGGAGACCAGGAACTGAAAGTTGACGCTGGACATGTGCATAAAAGATCTTGAGAAGTCTGTGTTATATTGTGTTCAATTCAGCTCAAGCTTGAAAAGTGCAATAGAACAGCATATCAAATTGGATGTCCATCCATTACTGATTTCAGAGACATTTCCCAAACGCCCAAGTGGAAAGAGCTGAATGCAACATTTTGATTCATAATGGAGTTTTGGTTCCTTGCCACTGTCACTTTTGGCTTGCTCACTTGAAAATAATTAATATTCAGAAACTATTATCTATTTGACTGCACTGACACTATCCGATGAAAAAAAAAACTATTTGAATTGAGCTGGATAATGAGATTATTGTCTTCTGTAGAGCTGCCTTTTAAATTATTTTAAAAATGATGAACTTTCCAACATTGACACTTAGTGAACTGAATCAACACTGACCTAAACTAAGCTGAATAATCACACAATTTGAAAAGTTGTGTTTGTAAAGCTGCTTTACAGCTGAAATTGAAGTTGTTCCATAATTAATTAATTTTGCAAATTTAACACTCTTATTTTCCTGTTTATTGTTTAAGCTGATTTAAATCTGTATTGTATAAAGCACTTTAAAATAAATGTGACTTGAAATGCATGACATCATGCAAACAGATAAATGCACAAACAATGATAAATGTTCAAATAAAAACTTTTTTTTTTGGACAACGAATGCAATTTGGTTGCTCTACTTGTTGACAGTCAAACACCTGCAAAATGGTGTCGCCATTATTTTTTCCTTACACGTCATCTGTCAGTCTGTCTTCAAATGCCATTCTATTGCACTTTCCCGAGATATGAGGTGAACGGAGACGCTGAATTACTGAAACAACTCCAGCATCCGATGTTCTCTCAGAAAAGCATCTATGAGGATGGGAATATCTAACCCATCCTTACCTTTAGCTTCTGCTACTGTAGGTTCTGCTGTTATGTGCAAGAGACCTTTAAAATCCCCACAAGGTTTTGAGGTTATCCAGAGTGGACTCTTAGCTGACGTATGAAAAGGTCTTGCACTTGTAGCGTGAGAAACATTAGCCACTTTCAGAAGGAAAAGAGTTGATGCTTCAGTTCATATGTACAGTTTTGAGGAAGCAGCTCTGGTTTACCAAGATATACAAGGACGCTTGATTAATGATTGGTTTGTCCTGACTGCTCTCTTATCTTTGGTACACCAGCCCCACATTTCAGCCTCTTCATCAACCTTTTTTTTTTTTTTTTACTTTTTCTTGTCCTTTTTTCTTAAAAAAACAGCAACAAAATCACCGACATCATTTCATCACGTCCCCTCCGAGTGAGATGAAGATCACCTCCCCTCTGTACTTCACTCCTCTACGCTCACACTGCACTTCCTCTGTCCCTCTTCCTCACTGCCGTCCGAATAACCCTTCCTCACACATACACACAGCCTCTCACCCAAACATACAGAACGAAAAACAGAAACTTAAAAAGAATTCAAACAGAGCAAAATGAAAGTCCTCCGGAAAGCAGTGCTGCGTGAAGAGTTCACCGCTTCTGAGAGTTGATCATCACTTTAGAGACGAAGTTGACGATGGCCGTGGCCGGTTGATCGGGATCCATCTCGGCGAACAGGTGACTGACGTTGTCTGTTGTGCTGCCTTGCTTTCTGGCCACAAAGCCAAAGAACCTGTGAAGAAGAAAAAAAAATCTTGATGCACTGTTTGTATTAAGGACAGTTCATCCACTGTTTGTATTAAGGACAGTTCACACACATCGCTTTCTTGCATTCTGTCTGCAAGATCAGGAGCTAATGAAGGCTTGAAACTTGTTAGCAAGATTCACAACAGTACTTGGGTGAATCTTACAATACATGTCCAGGTCATATTCCAACCCAAAATTGAAAGGAAATGATTAGGATGAAAATCTAAATATGAAATGTAATCTGTCTAATGTGTCTTTCAGAAGCAGCCCAGATCGAGCCGTGAGGGCTGTCACATGCCTCATTGCACCGAGAGTGTAAAGTGTCTTGTGCTTGAAAACTCAAGTGCTTACTAAAGATATCTGCTCAGATTGGGTGTGAGAGGATCATATCATATGGTTATTTTGGGCCAAAAATCATGTCTATGGTTCTTAGAATGAAATCGGCTCCTTTTTGTCTCTTTAAAGGAATAGTTCACCCAAAAATATAAATTATGTCATCATTTATAAATGTTGGTAACCAAACAGCTGACGGTAGCCATTGACTTCCATAGTATGGAAAAAAAAATAATACTATGGAAGTCAATGGCCACCAGTGACTCTTTGGTTACCAACATTCTTCAAAATCTCTTCTTTTGTGTTCAACAGAAGACAGAAGCTCATACAGGTTTGGAACAACTTGGGTGAGAAAATCATGACAGAACTTATGAGAATTATGAAGCATCTGAGAAGCATTTATCCTTCATATATGTAGTAGGGCTGTCAAAATAGCTGAAAAACTAAATTCGAATTTTTTACTTAAATATGATCAAAAATCGAATTATATTCAAATTTAAAATGCATCATTTCAGTTAGGGTGAAGAAAAGCTTTTGGCTTCTCTCCTGAGGCCACAAGAGGGCGCATCGAGCAAAATATTACTAATGCACATTTATTCAAAGTGCATAATGTTTAAAATAATGTTTATAAACCAATTATAATTAAGTTGCTTAAACAACTATAACAAAACAGCATCATGTATGTATGCATAGTTTAATACAAAGGACCGAAATCACACAGAGCACATTTTTCATTTAAAACCACGAATTGCAGTTGGATGGGGAAAAAGCCCGCCATAAAGTCTCGAGGTATATTTTTTCAAAGTTGAACTTGCATTAATTTCACATGGCTTTCTAAACATGCGGCTCCTTTGTGTGAGATGCGAGTGCAACGGTAATAGACGTCCCTCTAGAAAACACGCGAAATATGCGTTGTGTGAACGGCTTGGTTTCAGTTTTGACGTAAACAAGATCTCCACATTGATGTTCTCTTTTTCCGCAATATTTGTAATTAACAACGCAGCAGCGCCACATCTAGTGGCTTCAACTGGATAGACTAACAAAAACATTAAAATGCAACGACACTTACATCGTCATCACATCTCGTGCGCCACTGATAAGGCTGCCTCCTTAACACACAACTAAAATTCATATTCGAAATTCGAATTTTTTTTGACAGCCCTAATATGTAGTGTGTGGCCTCAGAGGGTAAATCATGACACACGTGTGTGAAGGTTAGCACGTTAGCGTCATGTTCTGTGCCGTTAGCTAAGACAGCAGAGATCACAATCAGATCACAGCTCATTCATCATGATAGCCCTGAGCATAGGTACTCTATCCCATGATGCACCAGAAAGGGGGAGCAGAGCTTGCTGATACATATCTAAACTGCTTTCAGATAACACGTCTGCTGAGCTGCAAAAGATCGAGTTCTCCATTATCAAAACTTACTTTGCAGTGCCACCCTCTGATTTGCTCCACCTGGAACGACATTGAAACAGATTATAGCTGTTTAACTTTACAGCATTAACTAAAAAATAATAATATATTTTATTTATAGAGAACTTTTCAAGGAAAACACAGATGCTTTACAAGAGATAAAATACCTGAAAATCAATTCAATAGAAGCAATAACTGCATTAATAATCACACATTAAAAGCAATACTAAAACGTGAGTTTTGAGTAATGATTTGAATATAGAAAAATCTAAAATACTTAAAAAAAAAATAGACTTTGACATTTCCTTTCGGTCTTTCTTCTTCAAAATGTCATGTTTACTGTGTTACTTGCTGTTTCCACAAATTTCTGAGTAGTACTAGCTCATGTATTTATAAAAAATTGTTGCTCTAATGCTAAGATGTTCTGAATGGTTCTTAGTGTGCATAGTTTTGCATTATTTTTTTACAAAAATCTCTGCTCTATTATTTTTCCTACAACATTCTATATTCATTTTCAATTTTTTCACACATTTCTTGAGAATTTATTTTATTACATTCTCTCTTTTATTATGTGTGTGTGTGTGTGTGTGTCTGTCTATAATTGTAAAAATCACTACATTACATCACATGTACATAATATGTATGTGACAAATAAAGAAATTGAAACTTAAAACTTAAGGTTAAAGCTTTGAAAAATCCTTGAACTGTAATAATGAGCAACATTAACAGCCTTACTGCCTGACAAACACTGCTAAAAAAAAAGCTGACAACTCCTAATAGACTTCAACATAATTCTGATCCGGTCACCAGATCCACTGATCAATACAGAAATGTTGTGACATTGACTGCTGTGGTTAAAGTTAATGCTAATGTTTCAGGGTTTGCTTACTTCCTCTCCTGTGGATCAAGGTCGCAGAACGTGACGGTGGTGATGGGATAATGACGTCTGAAGAAAAGCCTGTTGAAGAAACGACAGATATGTGCTTTTAAAACATGTTCGGATGTAGCCTTGGAATACATTAAGATTCGAAAAGAAAGAAAGAATAAGAAACTCACTTTCTCTGGTTGTCAGTGAGCGTGATGCCTTGTGCCGACACCTTAAAGTGAACAATGGTGGCTGAAGGTGCGGGACTGGCTGCCATGGTTTCTGAGATGGCCTTGGCGACGGCCTGAGGCCCAGTCAGAGACTCCATATCCACAGAGTTTATGTACAGGACATTGCATGCTGGGAAAGACAAGAAAACGTGCATAGATCAATAACCATGGTGGTATCCGCAAATAATTAAATTACTACTGCATTATGTAAGGCAGATGCACCTTAAACTCTAATCTTCACACATACTGTGATTTTGTCAAACACACACATATCATTAGTATATTCTGCATTTGCATAATCCAGTGGTTCTCAAAGTGTGGGTCGGAGGTATTGGCGTAAATTCTGAACTCTCATTCATAACCACATTTTTAAACATGCTGCACTGATGATTCACCAGTGTTATTTTAGTATTATTTATACTAAATATGTACTATTATAGAATTTATAAAAATGTTGAATTAGCCTTTATTTTTATATTTTCCATTTTCATTTGAATTTTTAGTTTTACTAAATCTGTCATTTTTTATTATTTCTACTTAGCTTTCATTCATTTTTACTTCAGTTTTAGTCATTTATGTACTTGTTTTATTTCATTTAAATTAATGTGTATTTTTTTTATTTTTAATCTAGTATTTATAACTAATTTAAGCTGTTTCAATAAAGGAAAAGTATTTTTAATATTTTCAGTTAATATTTTCAGTTAACAACGTTTCTTTTTTTTCTTTTTTACTATTAAATGTATTTTTTTTTTTAATTATTATTATTTTTGGGTGAACTACTCTTCAATATTGCTCCCGCAAATCAGTATTAATGTTTTATTTATTTATTTTATTATATATAAAACATATCTTTCAAATATTTTATGTATTTTTGAATGCATTTTGGATGCATTTTTTCCCCTTTTTTATTACTAGAAAGACATATCATAAGACTACAGAAAGAAAATGCAGGTAATGGTTTTTTAAAAATAACTTCATCTACAGTTCAACAGTTTTATGTACTTTACCAAAATGTGGCAACAATTGATTAGTATTCGTAATTGAGATTTTTTTTTTCCTCTCAAAGGCGGAGCTGAAAAGAAATTGAGAAACACTGGCATCATCTATCAGTAGATCCATGCATAGTAATCTAACATCAGTCATGAAAGAACATGCCACATTCATTTAGAAAGGTGTTCTTGAAATACAATCGAGGCCTTGACAAAAAGCTGAAAACACAGCAGCCGAACAGTTTTTAGCAGACAGGTGAAGGTGCTTCTGGAGGTCTGGACCATCACATGCACAGACAGTAGTAAAAGAAGAGTGCGGTTCTCTCTCTAGACACGGCAGTCAAAGTCAGGTTAAACACAATGACACAGATAAATGAATAAAATACGCAGAGCATCACTGGGTTTACCATGGAAGTCAGATGAACTCTTCTGCCCTAAATCATTTCCACAGGAGTGACACCAGGGTGGGGAAGAACATGGCAGTTGGTTCAGAGTTGATATCAGATCATAAACAAGCAACAAAAAGCTACTGTAACTGCACTAACACTTGGACTAATGGAGAAAACCCACATTAAATGTACTGTAGAGAGCATAAACAGAGATCTAAGATGAATAAATACTGCTGATAAATTCACATCTATCACATATTTAGGGATTTTGCTGAATGAAGTAGTGCTAAACACATTGAACTTTAATGCTTTTAAAAAATACTGTTTTTAAACAAAGGTTGCACATTAACCATATTACCTTTTGTTTACAGTATAGATATTATTTTACCCCTATAATATACTGTATATCTACTGTATTTTCTCACTGTAGTAGAAGCAAGAAAATATGAACTTTTGTTTAAAATTCTCTGCGTTTCGATTCATTGCATTTACATGCAAATTCTATGTATTATATCTATCAACATTTTAAATATTACCTCTATTGCCAAAATGTAAGGCATAATGTTGAATACCACAAAATATAACTGACTAATCCTGGGTTTTCTTTTCGTTTCTTTTTTTAAATATTGTTTAAAAATATCGAAACACAGTCTAGCATTTCCGACTGATTAAAAACTAAAATGTGCAGCTCATATTTTTGTTAAATGTTTGTTGTCTGGTCCATGTATTTCTTGTTCAAGTTCCTTACTGAAACCATGATTATTGTGGTGATTAACACTGTGCCACAAATGAATCTGGAACATTACTTTTTATGAGGTTTAGAGGAATAAAAATATTTTATACTATTAATAACTCATGTAAATATTCTCACCTGCACCCTGTTTGAGCATCTCTGCCGCCGGGTTAGTTGGTGTTGCGATCTCAGGTGACTCCTCTAGAGGATCTGTAAAAATGACAACGGGTCAAAGTTTAGACTGTGCATATCCTGTCCGTTTGAGTGCTATGGCTTGTCATTCTGCTGTGAGAATTCTTGCTATGCTAGGAATCAAAGCGCCTGGCTAACACGCTGTCACACAGTGTTTGAAAAGGCAGAGATGCACACATAAAAGTGTGTGGTTTCATGCCCCCTGACACCTGAATGGCACATAGCATTTGGCTGAGGACAGAGGCCCAGCTGAATGCACAGACCTCGGAAAATGCTCACAATTATTCACACAAGGCAAACAGGACATGCATCATCATGACAGAGAGCACAGCTAAGTGAGGTAGGCATGTACAGTACGTACAAAAAAGTCACAGTGGAAGTATGCATCTGGCCTTACTAATTTGTATTTTTTTAGATATTGTTTTGCTTTAACAACAGTATCAATCAAACTTTCATGTTTGAACAAAAGAGTACAGATGCTTAGGTTTCCTTGTATTTTTCTGCAAATTGTGTGAAATTGTTGGATAAATACACCAAGGAGCACATACAAAACTGAAATATGCATAAAAACCATATGCACTCCCATGAGATGGATAAACATTTTATTCAGAGAGATAGTATGTGCATAAGCTACAATAAAACACATTTACCAAATACATTTATAGATGTGCATGTAAAAAGTCATGTTACTTTCCTCAAGTCATGGGACTGAATAATCACTTCAATTGGTTACTATGACCTTCCAAAACTGTCCCATTTAGTTACCAAACATAATGGATCTTTTGAAAAATGCTAGCAAACATGAAGTTTAACAGATCATTTTGTCTGCAGCTCTAAACTGCATTTTTTTTTAAATATTTAATAAAAAGTCGCAGCAGCTTACACAGTGGGGAAAAAAAACTAAATAAATTAAAAATACATAAAAAAAAAACTTTAACTTAAATTTATATTCACATTTAACCAGGAGAGACACAAGGGCCCACGACCGATCTAAAGTATCCAGATAGACATTTGTTATCCATTCTCAATGGGAAAGTGCCCAAGCAACATTGCTCAAAAAAAGTTGCCCGGCAAAATTGCTCAAAAAGTGGCCCTGTGTATCATCAGCCTTAGACTTTTGGACCCCATTGTATGTGTAGAGAAAGTGATATGATGTCTCACCTCTGGTTGGTATGACTAGTTTGCAGGGTAGAGACAGAGGAGTGATGGAGTGCTGGTAGACCAGTGCAGACAGGCAGCCTGAACACAGAAAACATGAAAACAAAATTGGAGTCAGATTTACGAGCAGAAATCAGAGGAGGGCATACTTTACATTACAACCCTCCCGAAGCGGTCAAACTTTGATGCCCGGCATTGACAAACCATAAATCCATGTTGTTGACCAGTTGTGTCAGCGAAAGTTGGATGATAGGAGGGGCAGTTATACCGACACTTGGTTTAACCTCCAGAGTCTTTCTTTATTAAACCTCTCCTTCAAATATTTGACTATATTAGGAAAAAAACAACTGGAGAGACTTTGCTTGGGCAGAATGTTTCCCACTGCTCATGAGAAACAGCAGAACTGCGGAAGCAAAATATCCAGGTTGATAGTGGAAAGGAGTCCTTGATGCCAATTTTAAATATTATTATCAGCTTTTAAACTCTCCTCTTTCAGCAATCAGATTTTATCAACACTAACTGAGGACAGTTTACTTTAAGGCCCCTTTACAGGAATAGTTCACTCCTAAACAGCTACTCACCTTTATGTTGTCCCAAACCCCACTTTCTTCTTTAAGTGGTGAAATTTTGTAGAATTCTGTCCATTCTTTTCAATATTTGAAATTAAATGATGACAGATGTTGTCAAGCTCCAAAACAAAAAGACATAAAACACCATAAAGTGTCACAAAAGCAGTCAATATGACTGGTGCACTATAATACAAGCCATATGACAGTTTTATGCCAAAAAAAAAAAAACATTTGAAAGAGACTTAAATGTAAGTTGTTATTCACTAAAAATCAAATATGGCACGGTTAAAAGCATTGTGTCAGATTTGAGGTCAATGTTGTTCAGTCACAAAACACACAAAGACCAAAAACCTGACACTGCACTTTGAACTATGCAAGATTTTCAGTGGAAAAAAACAACATTTTGATCTTTTCATCACACAAAGCTATCATATGACATCAGAAAACTTGGCGCTTAAGTTGGTTGGACAAGTTTTACGATACTTTTATGGAGCTTTTGTCCTTTTTGATAACCGTAGTCCCTGTGAACTGAATAAAAAGTAGCTTAAAGATTCTACAGAAATTCACCTTTTGTAACAACAGCGAAATTTAACAGCATAGGGGTTTGGAATGACAGGATGATGAGAAACATGATAACACCGTTTTTTTTGGGTGAACTGTTCCTGTAAGCAGTGGGCATCCTGGCTGAGATTCAACCGGAGGAGTGGAGCTTAAATATCGCTGTATGTTTATTAACACGAGTGCTATTCCCGACAACAGAGAAATCCTGCCAAATTTCACCCACACCTGCTTTCGTTCCCACAAATCAGAGTTCTTCTTTGTCTGTTCTGCTTTTCATAATTAACAAACGCTTATGCAATGGTTACCGTAATGCAAGCTGCCCAGCCCTGATTTTTATGTCTCCTTATTTGATGTGGAACGGGGCATACTGGAGAAGACAGCACTGCCCATTGAATAAACTAGGTCTCCATGTAATGTGGTCAGTAGACAGTAAATTAGAGAGGGGCTGTCTTTAAGCTGTACTTAATAATGTCAGCTGCTCCCATGCTGTCGTTTGGACTACATATGTTCTACAGCTTTCTGGAAGCTACACGGACAGCTTGATTTAAAGGGAAGAATTCACGTTAACTTGTATTGAAGAGCGAAAACCACACAAGCATTTGTTCTACAAGCTTGGCAGATTGGACTTTCAGATTAGTGAACATTCAACAAATCATTCTCGTGTCAGTGTTCGCAAGCTTCATTAAAAAAAAAAAAAAAAAAAAAAGTTAAAAATTGATCCAACATGGTTCAATCGAATTCAAAACAACTATTTTAATGTGTTTGCAACATGCTAATACTAAACACAGCTCAATAGGTTTCAGAACAGATTTTACAACATTTTTAATTAAACAAATTTAAACAGTTTGATTTACCAAAGTACAGCTCGTTAGGGCAGCCCTTCAGTCTCACGCCTTTCAGACTCGTCTCAATCAGGAAATGTCTCACCAGCTCATTAGTGACATCTCCAGCTGAAATAATGATTAAGTAAGAAATTAAAATATCAAAACAGTACAATAAAAAACAACCAATAATACTATCATTTGTAGAACAGACTTTAAATTACTAAATGAAACCCCATGTTGATATCTGTAAAAGTACTGTATTTGTTCATATTTGCATTGCAATATTTATAAAAAAATGTGTACACAATTGACTGAATTTATGTTTCTAATGATCTTAAAGGGATAGTTCACCCAAAAATGAAAATTCTGTCATTAATTGCTCACCCTCATGTCGTTTCAAACCCGTAAGACCTTCGTTCATCTTCGGAACACAAATTAAGATATTTTTGATGGAATCTGAGAGCTCTCAGACCCTGCATAGACAGCAACGCAACTGCAATGTTCCCAAGTCCAGAAACGTAGTAAGGAGATCTGTAAAATAATCCATGTGACATCAGGGATTCATCCGCAATTATACGAATCTACGAGAATACTTTTTGTGCGCAAAAGAAAAAAAAAAATGACTTTATTCAACAACTCGTCTACTCTGCGTCACCCTGGTGCCATTTTGGAGAGCATCAGCTGGACGTAAACGGTGTATGCTGTTCTGTGTCAGCTGCGTCAC